CGACAAAGGACAATTCTGGTATGAGCGATTAAAATGAAAAAATCGCCAACTTGGAGACACATGTAGAACTAACCTCCCAGTAATCAATGTCTCTATGATGGGAAAAACGTTAAAGCACAGAAGACAGCGAGCAAGACGAGAATAAGATGTGCTATGACAGTTTTAGGAACTCCTCCCTGGACACAAAATACCAAGACAGAAGTGTGCCACACAGAAATCACGAATCTTTAATTCAACTTAGAGTTAAATTAATTTACAATTACAAATTAACTTTTAACTGAATCTCAATATGAAGTCACCTCTCAAACACTAAGGAAAGAAGCACTGGTGGCCATTTAAGGCAAAACTAAATTCTGAACCAAAAACATTTCATTGGAAATTCACAAGTATCTTGCTTTTTCTCTTAGCCATCATGTCAAGACAAAAATAAAAGCTGAATCTTTAGATTAAATCATTCCCAGACATAGATTCAAAGCTATCTGACTCCATGAGCAAGATAAGGCAATATATACAGAAAAAAATCTGGATTTTATAAAAATATTTTTCATTAACTACTTACAAGCTAGTCTTCAGAAAGCATCTTTTTCCAATTCTACCAAAGTTTCTTTGAATTTTTAAACTGATTTTATACTTGCTAAGAACAAAGTTAGCAGTAGTGTTTTGGCAAGTACTGGCTGATAAATTCTTGATATTCTCTGAATCCTTTAAAATGTCTTCTTTGATCGTCTTCCAATTTTACCAAAACTCTGAGAAGAGGAACAATGACTGGGGACAAGCAAGACGGGGTAGGGGGTGGTGTCTGAAGGGGAAATGCCAGCGCTGCTCAGAGAGCTGACAAAGTCCCAAGAAAGTCAACCGTGGAAGCCAGACCTTCAATCAGAGTTCAGAGAGGGCGGGAGAGCGGCTGTGGAAGACCAGGACGGGGTGGAAGTACGGGAGAGAGAGGAGAGCTGAGTCCCACGAGTCCCTCACTCTGTTTCTCTTCCTCCCTAAGCCTCCCGCACTGACCGCGGAGCCCAGGTGACCAGTGACACTGCAGGCACGAGCTGAGGGAGGGAAGCAGGGAGACAGGGAAGCGTATCTGCACGTGGAATTTCGAAACTGTCACAGTAGTCACATCTTAATTGTGGCAAAGG